AGACATCCGAAGTTGTGATTTCCGGTGGTAACTCATGCTTATATGCATTGTCATTAACTCTTTGTAAAACCTTTAAAGGACCAATCTTTTTGGCTTAAGCTTGTTGTATGTATGTGACCACATTCTGTCCTTGGTTAAAACAGCCCAAACTAAATCGCCAACATCAAACACGAGACTACATCGATGAGAATCTGCTGTGGCTTTGTACTTTGATGCTGAATTCTTCAAATTATTAGTAGCTTGAGCATGAATAGTGGCAATGTTGTCAATAAAGGCTGATGCATCACCATGAAGGTTTGGCTTGTCTGGGAGAGTCGAAAGATTAACAGGATCATGAGGAGAGAACCCGCAAATGATTTGAAATTAACTAAAACCAGAGCATGTATTAAGGGCTTTGTTATGAGCAAATTCCGCTTGCGGTAACTTTGAATCGCAAGTTTTAATTGAATCCCTAACCAAACAGCGTAACTTATTACCAAGCGGCCGATTAATAACTTCCGTTTGTCTATCCATATGAGGATGTTAAGTCAAACTCATGTCAAGGCTTGTGTCCAACATTTTCCAAAGATATCACCAAAATGCCCAAGCAAATGATAATGGAAGCCCATGAAGACAATAGACATCTCAAAAGAACAAAATCGCCTCTTGTACTACATCAATCGTCTTTTAACATAGTAAAGTAAACAATTTTTGAAAATCGATCAATGCCTACAAAAGTAGAATAAAAACGTTATTGTGTCTGTGGGAGTCCCAAATTAAAATCAATACTGATATATGTCCATGGTTGTGTTGGAATGGGCAATAGCAAGTATAAACCAGCATTAGACGCATACTCCTTGGACTTTTGACACAAGATACAATGTTCAACAAAACGCTCAACATTATGACGAACGCTGGCCAGAAATAAGACCACAGACAAGGGATGAAATGTTCTATCACGACCTATATGACATTCGCAATGAATTTTAGAAATGAGTTTATGCTGAAGACTGCATTCAGGAATACAAAGCTGAGTACCACAAAACGCAAACCCATCAATGAGACTGAAATCCTTTGACTTCCCAACAGATGCACCATCCTATATTCTTGCAAAATATGGATCAGAGGATTAAAGATTTGCGAAAGAAGCAAAACCTAGAACCGAGACATGAAGAACTGCAAGAAGGGATTGTCGAAGACTCAAGGCATCTGGAACATGGTTAAAGCTTCCTGTTGTATGCTTAATAACACAGGTGAACTGCTGTAAATAAGAAATCCAAGAAGCAGGTCGAACATAAACCTTGTCTTGATTACCCAGATGTTTGAGGTTGTCATGATCTGTGTACAGAACAAATTCTTTATGGAACAAATCATGCTTCTAATATTTGACAGCTTGGATGATAACATAGAATTCAATGTCATAGGTGCTATAAAGGGAACGAGCGCCTGCTAATTTCTCACTATAAAAAGCAATAGGGTTCCCTGTTTGGCTTTGTGATAAGTAGGTTTTCACTATTTAAGCAATCAACCCACTATTAATCAGTTGTAGTATAGTATCAGATCTTTTATCAATCCAAGTGAGAAACATGATAAAAAAGAATACATAATATTCTTGTAAGCTAAGCCAAGCAAAGAGGATTGGTTTTAAAAGTCTAAATAATCACCAAACTGAAACAGGACAATGACCAAAGTGAAGCACAAACATCAATAGTGAATCAACTTAAGTAAACACAACCTTCAACTAGCAAAACCAGAGTAAAAGCAGAGCAAAACAGAGTAAATGCAGGGGAGATTCAAAATTAAACAAGCATGGTCTTATGATGGGGATAATCAACCTAGAATGATCCTTAGCCTCTAACAAGATGTTCAAACAATCAGTGAATGCATGATCCTTTAGCATAGACCTCTAACAAGCTAATCCACATTCATGACAATGATTCCTTTGAATGCAACCTAATCAAAATCTAACTCTCATTAGTGATCAAAAAACACACAAGCATAAAGAAATAGTCCTATCTAGCCAATATGCTCCATAGTCATCCATTCACATGTGTAAGGATAAGCAAATCCACTAAGAGGTTAGTTCAGGCATTTTAACAAACACTTTTGGTACAGAGAAAACATAAATTCGAAATCCAGATGATCAGTATGAATCAAGCATTAAGAACACACAATAGTGAATGATCTAACATCATCTACACCTAAACATTATGTTTTAAGCCTTAGATCTTAAATCTAACCCATCCTTAAACCCAGAAAAAAACTACACACAAACCATGTTCAATCTATCAAATACAGCAAGAGATGTGGGAAGTCATAATCAGAAGTAATAACAAGACAATCAATAACAAGAAATGTAAACTTCTATTAGAAACTCAAATTGTTGATTATGAATACCAAAAATCTGGAAAAAACTCAAGAACAAGAAAGAGAGAGTTATGGATAAAACTATAGATTAATGATGGATAAGTGATAAGAAGATAAGGTTTTGTTTTTATAGTCAAGAGACAAAGCCTGGTCAACTTGGTCAAAGCCTACAATCCGAGGGTTGACCAAAGTCAAAGTCTGGGCGGATGGTGATCATATCGGCCACCTCGCCGGTGCAGTCGCTAGTCTGAATTTGTACCAAAATTTAGTCGCCGGCGTAAGTCACCGGTGTGAGTTCATAAAACTTCTGGCCATCTTGCACTGAGGTGATGTATCCAATACACTACCCGGTGTGGTCATCTTCTTTGCTTAGCCTCCCTTAGGCTCTCCTCCTTGCATCCACTTGAATCCTATTTGATAAGTAACCTCTTTAGCCTCCATAGTACCTAGATAACACCTCCAAATGCAACAAAATATGGAATGCACATCTAGACACAAGCTAACTCTAATATGGATGCAAAAGAGACCTAAGATGTGAGTTTATGCATGAAAAAGACTCAAAAACATATGATCATGTATGCCTAAATGCGGTACATATGCAAGCTATCAATTTGCGTTTATTCCTGCTTTAGACGCATCACAATGAAGTTGAAAGACTTGTTTGAAGTCTGGTAAGGCCAAAATGGAGGCTGAGCTAAGCTAGTGTTTGATCACTTCAAATGCTTGTGTAGCTTCAAGGGTCCAAATAAACGGACTAGCTTTGGTACAGTCTGTGATTGGTACCATTAAGTTACTAAACTGCAGAACAAAACACCGGTAAAATGATGCAAGACCATGGGAAAGTCTTTTTCTGTAAGCGTTGTTGGGATTACAGAAATGGTTATTTTGGGAATGTCATGACTGAATATCTGAAACTTTACTTAGATCCATGGCTAATCCTGGTGGATACAGGATGTATCCCAAACTTGAACTTGCGACGAAAAAATTCATATTTTTTAACGTGGCAAAGAATTTGTCATGTCGCAAAATGTTTAAGGCCACACGCAGGTGGCTCAAATGATCATCTAAGGAGGAGCTAAAGATCAGGATTTCATCAAAATATACCACTACGAACTTGCCAATAAACATTCTGAAGGCTTGATTCATGACATGCATAAACGTACTTGGAGCATTCGACAAACCAAATGGCATAATTAACAACTCAAATAAACATTCTCATGTTTTGAAAGCCATTTTTCATTCGTCACCAGGTTATATTCGGATTTGGTGATATCCACTCTTTAAATCAAGCTTTGAAAAAATATTCGCTGAACCAATTTAGTCATCAAAGCGTGGTATATATTGGAAAATGATAGCGCACAATAATTTTGTTAATAGCACAACTATCACATTCTCAAAAAAACTATTTTTCTTAGGAATCAGCAAAACCGTAGTACCACAAGAACTTAAACTTTCATGCAAAAATCCTTTCACGACAAGACCCTCAACTTGATATCGTAATTCTTCATATTCATTTAGGTTCATGCAGACGATTAGGAAGTACTGCATCAAGAACTAGATCAATACGATGTTGAATGTCCCTATGAGGCGGAAAACCTGTGGGCAGATCATCAAGAAATACATCAACAAACTCATCAACCCAATATTGGAATGCAAGGGAATTGATGGAGGCGCTGTTGGCGGAATCGGTGAGGAAGCTAAAATAAAGATCATACATGCACAAAAGAGGATCGCTGCAAGTACAAAACCGGTGTGGACAGGGGGTCAGATTTTGGAGGTGCTGGCTTAGAATTAAATGACAGTTGTTAAAGTGAAAGTTAAATGTATTAAGAATTAAACTCTCAAGCGTGTCCTTAACAGCAAATGGCAAGCGTTCATTTGTGACATGTTACAGTAAATCTGACCTTTGTATACATCTCCAATTAAATAAGGAACAAGAGTTTGACGAAAAATACACATTTTACTGTCATTTTACAATCATGTCAATTCTACTCATCCTTTAATAATTATTTTGCTATTGTATAGATATCAATTTTTATATAATTTATTATTATATGTTTTTATAATATCATAAAATAATTATTTATTTATCACTGTTATCATTATGATTATATTATATATATCATGTTATCAAGTTAATTATATAAAACAAATCTTTATAAAATTTTTTCAACTGATATATACTTTAAAGAATACTAAATTATAATTTAAAATTAATATTTAATATAACAACTTATTTAACATGATAAACAAATGTTAATTCATAATATATAGACGTGTTACATTACAATTGTATTTTGATATAACAACTAATTTAATATGAGAAATAAGTGTTTAACACATACGATATTTGTTTTTGCTAACTTGTTTATCTTATTTGTTTTAATTAATGCGCAAAATAAGTAAAAAGGAAATTTAAAAAGAAAACAGTTTGGTCAAATATCAAAAAACCAATTTTAATCACAATTAGTACTTTCTTAATAAAATAGTCAACTATGTATATTCATTTAACTTACCCAAATAATTTGTGATAGCTATTTATAGAAGTATTTGTGTAAGTCAACAACACATCTACCGTATATAGTATATAAATAAATTATAAATTCAATAACGTTTGAAAATATATATAACGAAACCTTTATATATATGAAGGTTTTGAACTATTCGATTTCACAACAAAACATAAACAAATCAAAACTGAAATATCAATATGGCATCACCAAGCAAATCTTTCTTTGCATTTTTGTATTTGGCGATTCTCTTGACTCTAAGTATGCAAAATTAATCTGGAATTTTTTTTCTTCAGTTTGATATTCTATTATTTTTTGTTCAAACTTATTGTAGATCATAATTATATAGTTTTTTTGGTTATAGTATATACGTTTTTTACATGATATCGGGATATTATATTATCAAGTAAAAAATAATCATGTTTAAGGATTTTTTTAATGTTTTTGAATAATTGACTAATTTCTTTCAAAAATCTAAACTCAGATATTGTGGAAGCTGAAGATAGGAGTAACCTAATTCCTATAGGTCCTTGCGCACAGATTCCAAACTGCAACCAGACTTGCATTGCATCACAATTTAAAGGCGGAAAATGCATCAAATGGTATCCGACCTCCATTAAAGAAACATGTGCTTGCTTTGTAAAATATTCTACATCGCCCGTTTAAGAAAATGATTTTCAATTGCTAGAATTGTTTTTTAAAATGTACTAAATATATATTTTAAATAAAAATTTTAGTTGGTGAAAAAGTTGTATCAAAAATATATTTTAGATAAATTTTTAGCTGGCGACAAAAATATATTTTGTGATAATTCTATTGATACACACACATTGATAGAGAAAGTTTTATTTGATGCAAATAAAAGAAGTATTCTGATTTATAGTTTAATTTTTATGTATCATTTTAAATAAACATATTTTCCATCAAATAAATTGAGTTGGGCAGAGTTTACAGAGTGATTTACACCCAAAAACACTTGTAAGTTTTATTTTATATTCAAATGTATTTCTTGTTTCAAGAAGACTTTGGCATAACTTTTTGAACCTGAAAAACCAAATATGCCCTTAATAAAACTTACTCCTTGGAACCTCGTCGATATAATCTCTCAAATGCTAAACCCAGAAGATCTAAAAACTTTGATTTCTCCGCTGGCGACCGTAACTAAAAGGTCCAGAGAAGAAGCAGAGCATCATCATAATAATCAATCGAGTTTTCTTCCGGCGTCGATGGACTCTGATTCGATAGCTGACACTATAAAGTCGTTTTTCCGGATCGTTTCAACGATCCATCATCAGATTTTCCTTCACGAGTCAATACACAAGGCGAAGATCTTCGTCTCTCACTTCATTCTTTTCAAGATGGTCTGCCTTTTGCTAATAAAACAGAGCATGCTCTGTTCTCCAGCCATAGCAATTCCTTAGGGTTTGACTCATCAAACACGAGCTGTGACCAGTCGCAACAGCGGAGCAGCTGATTCCGCTGCAGCAACCGGATTGTGTTTGCTTCTCCGGCGATAACAACGTCGTTTAAGCATATTTTTGGTCAAAGTCATAAAGCGATTTAAAATAAAATCTGGGAAATCTTTGGTTTAGTTTCTCTTAGTTTAACCTATTTCTTGTGTTGCAGATGAGATCGAAGCGAGGAACGCGTTTGTGTGGACCATGTACCAATGTATTTGGATAAGAAATTTTGGAAGGTACGTTGGAGAAGAAAAAAAGTTTCAGCTGAAAAAGTTAGTTTTGGTTGAGCTGTATAACGTTGTGGACGATGCATTTTGGACAGGATACAAATTCAAAACTGCTATTGAATGTGTGAGTTGTCTTTGATTGCTCAAAATCTGTAGATTTAATGCCTTCGCTTATAGGATATGCTTTGATTGACACACAATACCCAAGTCATTTGTTGAAGTTACAATATATGAAACTTTAAATCCAAAGAAGCCTTATTTGATGGATTTTGTTGATGCAATGAATGTTTTAAGGCTAGTTATTTCTAGTAGTTATATACATGTTATGGATTTTGTTCTAATTTTATTGAAACATTAGATATTATGATTGGCTATCCTAATTAATTGAGCATTTTTGTTCAAACTTTGCAGTCTGGTTGAGCAAATTATGACGAATGGATAGGTAAGTGTGGATGCGTCTTTGTGGACGCATTTGTTTAGACACAGTTGTGGTTGTGAAGGTCGAAACTTGTATTCAAAAACCAATAAACAGAAAGTTCGTTAAACATTATTCTCCATCGAAAAATGACCACACAATCTTGTCCATTTGAACTCCATAAAAGATGTGTACTAACTAAGATGGACAAACTATAGTGGACTAAATATTAGGAACGAAATTAACTAAAAAATGAAACACGATTTTACAAATGAAATACAAAACAACACAACAAAATATATAAAATTTTAAAGACTACGAGACGCCGTCTAGCTCTTTGGCTTCCAAGCTGATAGCGAAGAACCAAAAGGAGTTGGTGACGCTGAATATTTACAAAATCTCTGTTTTATTTGTAATAGGATTATAACACATCGGCAGATAACTCTGTTTTCCATCCTCGCCGTTGTTCGGTGTTTAGAAACAAAATATAGTTACCGTCAGAGAAAGAGTCGTCGGAGAAAGAATTGCCAGAGAAAGAGTCGCTGGAAAAATCGATTCAAAATTACAAAACGGCGTCTCATATTGTTGATGTTAGGTTGTTTTATTGAAAAGATTTCTGTAAATCCTGTGTTGGTTAGCTATGAGTTGCCATGGATATGAACTGTCTGCAAAATTGATTTGGGGTTGTGGATGTTGCGACGTTGAGTTTTTTTGCTGACAAGGTTTTTAATTGGATTGTAAACAAAAGCTGAAAAATTGTTGATTAAAGACGAAGAGATGAATGGTCCAAAAGGGTGAGTTTGTCTTTTTAAGTGGTTAAAGTACACCAATAGCCAAAAGTATCTCTAAATGTAAATGAAAACTGATAAAGTGCCTTTGAGTGTTATTAACTCCATTAATTACATGATATTCTGCTTCAGCCAAGGGTGGAGATACGACATCATGTTTTTGAGTTGTCTAAGACAATAAAGATCCGCCAAGTTTAATAAACCAACCTGTGAGTGACTGACGTGTTAGAGGACATGAAGCGAAATCAAAAGCACATTAAGTACATATAGAACCTAAATTAAGACTCACTATGGAGCCTTAGGTAGATGCGGAATGGTGGGCTGATGGAATCAACATGCTGGCTTTGACGTTGTCTCGCGCTGATCAAGGGATGGATAAGCTCACACAAGACTTAAATCTTCAAGGCTTGAATCGAACGGGATATATCAAGCTGGCTTTCACGCTCTCTCTCGAGGGAACTAAGGGTGGAACGCGAGGTGGATCGAAAGGCACCACATATAGGATGGAAGAATCTATGATACTGCTCAACACTATAGTTTTAGTGAATCACACATGCAAGAACACAAGCAAAGTTCTAAGATAAGCGGCAGCTTGAACAAAGAAGAAGGATACTTGGAGAGTTGAGGATCAAGCTAGAGCAAGGAAGAGAACTTAAAGGAGTTGGATAAGTTTTCCCATGTATCATAGTGGAGTATCGATCAACTGGTCTACATCAGAGGGTATCAGGCATCGTATCGGGGTACTAGCAGATACCAGGATGGAGCGGCAAACCGGTGTTTTGGAGACTTCCCAGTATCAGCCACTTGTATCGAGCAACAGCCCGATATAAGAATGGAGAATTTTGTATCGGAGTCCCGTATCGAGCAAGAAGCCGACACCATTTTCTTTCCAAAGCAGATTTGACTTTGGTCAACACTCGAATTTTTAATTTTGACTGAGTTGACCAAGATTTGACCCTTGACTATTTAAGGCAAAAATGTTATCTTATCTTCATCTTATACTTTATTATCTTATCTTTTAGCAAACAACTCATCTCTAATCTCTCTCTCTCTCTCTCTTGTTCTTGAGTAATTTCCAGTTTTTGGTATTTTGTAGCAACAATTTGAGTTTTTAATATAAGTTTGTATTTTTTGTTGTTTATCTTCTATCTATTGCTTCTGATCATGTTTTATTTCATCTTTTGCTCTGTATTTGATAGATCAACTATGGTTTTTGAGTGGTAAATTCTGAGTGCAAGGATGGGTTAGTGATATATCATGGTTTTTATGGTTTTTATGGTTTTTAACCATGATATAAGTCTTTTTTATTGAGTCTTTTTGGTCTTTTTAGAGTCATAGAAGAGTCTTTGCAGGTTTTAACATGTCTGGAGCATAATTGGAGATTTTGGAATCTTTTGGAGCATTATGAGTGGAAGCCACGAAGTACCAAGCTCGAAGCAGAAAGTATCACATATGGTGACGCTCGTCACCACCTATGGTGACGCTCGTCACCCATTAAGGAAGGAACGTGGCGGTTTTATTAAAAGTATGAAGAAGATTTACAGAATTGGCCCAGAAGTTCCTTTATTTACTTGAAAACCCCAGATCGTGTTTGGCCTCTATTTATTAGGTTTTTCAGCCATTGTTGGCGATTATCTTAGTTTTTGAGAATTCAAAGAGCTTAGAGAGAGATTTATTCAGAGCTTTTTGGGGAGACAAATCCTGTACTCTTTTGAGAAGATTTCGAACCCCTTTTATTTCTTACTCTTTCTCTTAATGCAATTTTATTCAGTTATGTTTTGTGATCTCATAATCATGTCTGAGTAATCTGCTAGTTAAGTTAGGGTTTTTTAAAGGTTGATGAAAAGATTGTAGAATCGCTATCTGTTAGGAATATCTTATGGTTTTTCATCTCTGCTTGCTTTAAAATCGAATTTCTGAGACACATCATCTAGGAATCCGAAAATCTTAGGTTGTTAAATATATGTGAGAGCATTATTCATAACCTGAACTAGTATTTGATGAGCAAAGCAACTTAGTGCAAAGAGATTTGGCTTAGGAGTTTTGTAAACAATTGAATCTGATCATTCCTGCATGCTTAGGTTGTTAGAGTTTGCAAAGAGATTTGAAACTCTGTGATTTAAGTATAGATAACTTTTGCAATGAGAATTGATTAGTTATACATCAGTGATTCATGTTTAAAACGGTTCTTAATCATTCCTGATTTCCTGCGTCATACATTCTTGGATTCAACCTGCGAACTACCCTGACTTAGCACTTTTAGTTTTCTGGAACTTAGATTATCTTACAAAATCGTTTGCTTACTTTCATTCATTCATTCGCATTACATACATCATATTTTGTTTAGCTTAATCCGAATCTACATTCGATAGTGTAGTCTGAATTACTCTCTTGGGATTTCGATACCCCTTGTACTACAACTGCTTTTGCTGTGCACTTGCAGTAGTTTTATTTGGATAAAACCTGAGCCCTATCAAGTTTTTGGTGCCGTTGCCGGGGAGTAATAGCTGCCTATCAATTTTTAGTATTAGGATTTTGTCTAAGTTTTTATTTGTTTACTGACTTTCAGCTACTTTTCTCTGTTCCTGTTTCAGGTGTATGCCTAATCGCAGAACCAGAAGCAACAAAGAGAAGGAGCTTGTGACTTTGAGCATCGACGAGCTTGCTAGGTTGGAGAGAACTAACAAGAAAGCTAAGAAGCAATCTACAATGGTCGCTCCACTTATCTTGGTTGAAGATGCAGAAGGTCACTTAGTTGACAGGGAAGGAAATAGGAGGAACGAAGAGGGGTAGAGAATTGATCAAGAGGGGAACGTCATTGTTGAACAGCAGGTTCAGCAAGTTGAACAGCAGGTTCAGCAGGTTTACCTCATGAGCATCCTACGGATCACATAGAGAGA